CCTGTAACTTTACTGTGTAAAGAGCTAAAACCTCCAAAGTTTCAGGAGTAGTTAGTCGTTATAAGAAGTGTTTGTGAACTGAAAATCAAGAATGTGGGATCCTGTTTGTCCGTGATTTGGACAGCCCAGCGTGTGCTCCCGACGCAGGGGAAACTAATTCTGTCGGGGAGACCGACCTTGCCACGACAGCTGTTGTGAAGCTGAAGCCAAAGGCAAGATATGCTTCATCATATGTTCTATCTTTGGTTTGGAAGCATATTTGGCTTCAACCTCAACCTGAGCTGAAGGAACATGTCTTCTTCTTGTCTGACTGCTCATGTGACACCTGAGTGTGTCCCCGTGTTATCAAACATTTCAGGTTCACACACTTGTGTGTCTGAACATGATGTGCGTTGGACTACAATATGCATTTCCTCAGTTTCTATACTGAACAGTCAAAAACATTACCTGGTGTCAATGGTGAAACCTTTGGCCTTTGCAGTGTCCACCAGCTGGTTGAATAGCTCCTGTTGTGGTGGTGGGTGACACCTTAGAAGGGCCTGGTTGGGGAAAGCTTCCTGGATCTTGCGGGCCACCCAGTGGTTGGCGTAAATCATGCACTCTGCCACGGTCTCATGGACCTCCAGGGGCTGACGAGGGACCAGGGCCGTAATGTTCCTCTCCTCATCCAGCTGGGCACCCACCTGAAAAGGGAAAATGCTTCTAACGTGACTTCAATGAAAAAGAATATGAAAATGCATCAGTGGGCCACATTTTACTACAGTTTACTTTAACTCAGTTGAACATGCACCATTCCACCGGAACAAATGCTGCACGGAGAACCAAATGTGAATGAATCTCAACCTGAAAACAGTCTACTGTCTTTCCTACGTTCAGCTCTCTATCATACCAGTAAGAACACATATCCCTAACAGGCACACAGCTCTGCTCATGGGCACAGAAACTCCACCGATCTGCTGTTCATGCTTTTTGTTTATAGTGGACAGCCAATCAGAGTTTAAGTTAGCTCAAAGGAAATGTGCCTTAAAGAGAGAACAAAACTTTTCTCAGACTAAGGATGAACTGAGGGGACCCAAAGCACTTCAGCAGGAACCAAAAGAAGCCAGAAAGTTTGGATTTGAACACAGTTTTGGCTGTTTTTATAATAGTCAAGATGAACATCTGTTGTCCTTATCCTTCAGGACAACGATGTTTCACCAGCGGTCAATAATCCGCTTGTCAAGATAGAACTTGATTTTTGGTGGCAGCTCAATCATTAAACACTTTTAGAAATATATTGGTTTTCCACTATCCCAGAAGCAACCCGAGAGATCATTTTTTACTTCATATCAATATTCTGTGTGCGTACAGCCATAACAGGGAATGCAATAACTGAATAATAAATAAATCCCAAGACATCTATTAGAGGATTTATAAACAACAGGATTGTCATATGAGGTTTTAACAGATGGCCGACCAGCCGCTGTAGATAATGGCTGTGATCTAATGTGAAAACTGTCAGTGGTTTCACAGTGGAGTGCTTGGTTTCTTTATTCCAATATTCTCACTGAAATGACTTTCTGATAAAATGTTTTCTGCTGAGGAACGTGTTCTGCTTAGACGCCTGATTTTAAAATAACGTCTCTATTAGACCGTACTATAATTTATTATCGATGAAAAGAAATATATGGTATCCATCTGTAATTCTGTAAATAACACAGCAAAAAACCAAACTAAACATAAAGACCTGGAAGACTCCTGCGTCTAAATCATTCAGTTATTGTACTGAGTCCTGAACATGTTAGAAATATGGTATCTAAGCAGATTCTTACTCTGGATGGCATTACCTTGGCCTCCAGTAACGCTGTGAGGAACCTTGGAGTCATGTTTGACCAGGACATGTCCTTCAATGCACATATTAAACAAATATGTAAGACTGCGTTCTTCCATTTGTGCAACATCTCTAAAGTTAGAAATATCCTGTCTCAGAGTGACGCTGAAAAACTAGTTCATGCATTTATTACTTCCAGGCTGGACGACTGTAATTCATTATTATCAGGATGTCCAAAAAACTCGCTGAAAAGCCTTCAGCTGATCCAAAATGCTGCAGCAAGAGTCCTGACAGGGACTAGAAAGAGAGAGCAGATTCCCTTCATTGGCTTCCTGTTAAATCCAGAATTCAAAATCCTGCTCCTCACATACAAGGTCTTAATAATCAGGCCCCACCTTATCTTAATGACCTTGTAGTACCATATCACCCTATTAGAGCACTTCGCTCTCGCTCTGCAGGCCTACTTGTTGTTCCTAGAGTATTTAAAAGTAGAATGGGAGGCAGAGCCTTCAGTTTTCAGGCCCCTCTTCTGTGGAACCAGCTTCCAGTTTGGATTCAGGAGACAGACACTATCTCTACTTTTAAGATTAGGCTTCAAACTTTCCTTTTTGCTAAAGCATATAGTTAGGGCTGGACCAGGTGACCCTGAATCCTCCCTTAGTTATGCTGCAATAGACCGTGGCAGCTGGGGGATTCTCATGATGACGCCGAACATCATCATCACCTCTTTGTCATCATTATCACTGACTACATGTTTATAGACCAATCTCCATTTAATCATTAGTTATCATTAATCCCTGGCCCTTTCCACAGGTGTCTTTTGACCTGATTTCCTCCCTCGGCTGTATGAAGTGTTTCGGGGTGACTGATACTGAATTTTCTAACCATGATGTCATCTGACAAAATGACCAAACACAGAGGTTAAGTCAAACTTTCACTTAGACAGAAGCTTAGAAGGGAGAATCTTCTGCAGCTGAAATGTGCGAGAAAGATAGTGGTTCCAGTTTTAATGTGCAGAATGGATTTCTCTCCACTGAAGCTATGTGCACGGTTTACTTTGTTTGATTCACTTCAGATTCATTGAATCATTTTGTGTCGTATGTTAGACGTCAGTAATGACGATGTGTTAGGGTTAGACACTCAGCTATAACATGCTTACGCTTTCAATTAAGAACATGAACCTTAAATGTTTGCAGTCTTTATTTATATAGTCTTACTGTTAAGTACACACATTACCAAAACACACAAAATACTCTATGAAGATACAGAAACCAATCATACCTCCACTCCTTCCAGCTCCAGCGCTCCTCCTCTGTCCCTCTTTGCCCGAAGATGTCTGGCTACATGTGTGAGCATCTCAAGTGCCTCAGTGAGTTGAGCTAGCTTAGAACCCTTTTCCTGAGGACCCAGGTTGGCCAGTTCCGCTACCTCAACCTGTTCTCCGTTGAGGAGCGCCTGAGCCAGCTCGTAGTGGAGCTGATAGGAGGAGCGGATGAGTGTACGACCATACCAGACCTCTTGGACTTCAAGGGATTCTGCGTCAAGCTCCCAAGCACGCTCATTGCATACCTGAATTTGAAAGTGTCAGTTACACAACTAGCATGCATTTTAAGCATATGAAAATGAAACGTGTGATGGGAAGTCTACTAACCTGTCAGCACCTCCCAGCAGTGAGCAAAGGTCTGCGCTGAGAATAGCAGGCAGCATGTCGTACCTGCGGTCTGCCAGGTAGTAGGTTGTAGCCCTTAAGAAGTGACATAATAAATATAAAAAGGCAATGAGATCAAAGCAGCAGCTTTATCATCTTCTTTCTAATCAAAAGTGAGACATAATTTGAAAATAAGTACTAAATATTCAGAGTTTGTTCCACCTTTGTCATTTTCATCCTTCTGTTTATTAATAAGTCAGGAAGGATGAAATAAATAAGCAAAATGTTTTTCTTATGATTTAATAAATATTCCCCATTTTCTGAAATAGAATTTAAGGCTTCAAACCACAATCATGAGATTTTAATTTACTTCTTTAAAGTGTGGAGGCGAGCTGGACAGGTGGGTGATCTGCACGCTGCTTTGTGGACAGCTATGAAATGTAAAATGGAATTTTAGAGTAAGTCAGAGAGAAAGCAGAGGACCAAAACTACATTAAAAATCACAACATAAAAAATATATAGTAAGATTTCAGTATTATTTTATAAGTGCACGTTGTTAACAGTCTACACGGAGTTTCTCTCCTCACTCGGCTCTCAATCATCTTCTGTACATGCTGCTGCTGCTGCTGCTGCTGCCTTTAAAAAACGACATGCACTTCATGGACCTTCTTACTAATTTATCTGCAGACTACACTTTATCAGATACATTTTATTAGCACTGGGTTAGACACTTCTGCCTTCTGAACACTCCTTTCTTCACTTCCAAGACTCAACAAGGTGCTGAAAGAATTCCGTAGAGATTTTGGATTATAGCGAGATTACACCGAGATGACAGCAGAATGCATTTGCTGCAGATTTGTCGGCCGTTCAGCTGTGACACAAATTTTTTTGGGCTGCTTCCCTGTCACATGGTGTCATCGCTGCATGTTCCCAGGAAGGAAAATTTGTGGAGATCAAGTGCAAGCATTACTTTTGCAGCCCCGACCTTCACTTCATTTACTGCAGATATTTTAAACTCAGTTTTATTCATTTGTACAATACAGCACAAAATAAATAAATAAATCAGAACATGTGCATATATCTGGACATAAACACAGATGAATATCTTCTTGTTCTATTACTGTGGTTCAACTGTCTTGTATCATCATCCTCTTTATTAATAAGATGCACTGAAAGCCAATTATAGACAAACCATTAACATCAGGTACTCAAGGTCACATGCCATCATGTGACCTCCGGTGTTTTCCTGACACCCGTAACTGTACAAAGGGGATCTGAAAACAAATGATGTGTGACACACTGTTCTTTACTTCTACCACTCAGTAGAATAAAACTAATTTAGTTGGAAGCGGACTCATTTTTCCTTTTTTTGCTGCATGACCTTCTGGTTGAATGTTGTGTACAAGTATGGCTGCCATGTCCCGTAGTAATATATGTTTATGAAGGCCACAGTGAAAATCACTCAGGCTTTCCCACAGCGGAAACATTCCCCTGTCCTGTTAATGGCATCGTACTCAAAATGAGCACAAGTTCTTCGTAACAACATGGACCACTGTGTTCTGTGTGTAGCAGTTCTCTACTGTGAGAACCCCAACCACCTTTTAGCACGACCAGCATTCGTCCATTCGCACACATATTCATACAGCGCGTTAGTCTATACCTTTAAGCATTTTCTCTCACATGCACACTCACACTAACGGATGCATCCAGGGAAATTTGGGGGTTAAGTATTTTGTGCAAGGTGACTTTAACATGAAGCCCGAAGGCATCAGGGATTGAACCAACAATGTGCTGACCATTGGTTCAATTCCTGGTGCCAGTGATACTTTCAAAGCCATCATGGACCCTGTGAAGTCCTTCTACATGTGATTAAATGATAGACATTTAAGGCTTAATGCTTCACATCAGACACGAGCCTTATTTAAGGTGGCCCTCTGTGTTATTTATAATTGCGCTACAAGGCATGCTGCTGATGCAACATTAATTCAGGCAACAACTTTCTTGCCTCTTTGTACTTCTGAAAGTTCCTCTGAACACTTATGCAAGATGCTGTAATTTTCTTTTATCCTTTTATATCCCACCTACTCTACCCAACCACTCCAACCAGTTCCTCACCTTGAACGTGCCTCCAAGTCTGTGAGCGAACCCTCTTTGACAAAGTGAGTGACATCAGCAATGTGAACTCCCAGCTCCAGCCTTCTGTTGGGGAGCTTGTGTACAGACAGCGTGTCGTCTACATCTTCACAGCCGCGTGGATCGATGCTGAACACCAGGCGACTGTCCCTAAGATCCCGCCGCTCTGCCACCTCAGAGGGGTCTACCGTCCACGGCTTCTCCAGAGAGTTGACCGGCATCTCTCTCAGCTGATGGCAGACGGACAGGCACAGCTAAACAGCCGCATAGTCTTTTGAACTTTTCACATTTTGTTATGATTCTATACAAAACATTAATAATAATAATAATACATTTTATTAAGCGCCTTTCAAAACACTCAAGGACACTTTACACAAAGACAAAGCAAAACAGTGTTTCACTTTCAGTTGCTCCCTTGTCACAAGGGGTCACCACACCTGATAGCTCAGCATCTTTTGATACGGCAGAGTTTTATACCAGATGCCCTTCCAGGCACAACCCTGATTTGTATCTCCGGTTGCAATCGAACCAGTGACATTTTGCCTGCAAGCCAGTGTGTAAACCACTGATGAAAAAAGGAAAGAATGAACTATTCCACATATTTAATGATTCTTTAATATTTTGTTGATTTGATAATAATAATAATAATAATAATGGATTGGATTTATATAGCGCTTTCCAAGGCACCCAAAGCGCTTTACAATGCCACTATTCATTCACTCTCACATTCACACACTGGTGGAGGCAGCTACAGTTGTAGCCACAGCTGCCCTGGGGCAGACTGACAGAAGCGAGGCTGCCATATCGCACCATCGGCCCCTCTGGACAACAATAGCTATATTGCAATCTTTAAAACCTTTGGTTACTATGGTAACTCTCTGATAACCAAGCACTCTCTGATGTGACCAATCACAGAAGCTCTACTGCCACCCCCTTTATAACATAAAAAGTTATGAATGATGTTCCAGTCTATGATAGTGGACTCATCTGTGCTTGTCCTTTGTTACAGCCCATTGCAACCCTTACACTCCTTACAGTGGAAATGCAGTTGTCTTCAGGTGTTGCCTAGGTTTAACTGCCGATTGTCTACACCTGGTGAGGTGTGGCTAAAGGCGTTCCTGAAGTGGTCTAGTCCAATCACCTTCTCCAGGCCAATCAGCATTCATGCTGTGTCCTCGGTTATTCTTCCTTGTACACGCCTCATCTCATCACTCATGCTCCATTCAACCATTCCACCACCAGCTTCCAGGCTCTCGGGGCTCCTGCTCTAATCCTTTTCACAGACGGGGTTCTGTTCCGCTGAGATAGGCCATCTGAGTCTAACGGCAAATCACCTGTTTAAATTCTGTTCATCAGTAAATCAATTTCATTCTTTCAAATAACCTCTCCTTATTAAAATATCTGTACTGTATTTAGTGATGAACAATTGTTAAACTCTGGTGTTTGCTCCCATAATTTCCCTTTTATTTTGACGCTCTCTGCTCTTTCCTCTTTCCCTGATCTCTGACTGCGATTGTTTGGAGGTGAAAACCAAACATCACCTGGGTTTCAGAAAACCAGAGTTACCCTGGTAAGCAACCATTCTCTGTATCTCACTATGGGAGATATAATCTACTTCCAGGTTGTAAGTTCTTTATCCTTAACAAGGTATGGAGCAGGGTAAGCCCACACTAAGGACTGAGTGTGCCAGTGAGGATGCAATAATATCAAAAACGCATAACCTAACAAATGTAATAGATGGTCCTCTGGTGAACTGTGAAGGTCACACTCTCAGTAGCCTTCAACAGCCACACAGACAGATACACTCAACAAAACAGGAACACACAGATGCTTCAATCTATGCAAAGGAGTGCAAGACACAGAAAAGCGCTATATATGGCTACATTTTCAGCAATTTACCGTTTAAAAGTGGGCCCTGCATAAACAGGATGTGGACCAATTGGTGCATTCCCAAAGTAAATGTGATACGAAAGAGTAGCTAAATGCAGTTTAATAAATGGAAAATAATCCTCTCTTATTTAGCTAATCCTGAAGGAAACATAACACATGTGGAACAGAGTTAGGAATGGGTACCGGCAATGTTCCCTCGAAGCTGTGTGTGTGCACAATTGCGCACTGCTGGCACGGTCTCTGCGCACAGAAAATCTGCATTGCGCACAAAAAAAAAATCTAACCTGAATTGAAATTAAAATCAATACTTTAACAAGTCTGTTTTGCAGTGTTAGTCAGTGACTGGCTGCTCCCGTATGGGATCCAGCCAGTAATGCGATTCACATTCGTATATACGCAGCTAATCAATGTCGTTGACAGGCTCTGACAGCGTCCTTATGTGTCGACACCGGTGTTTTAGCGAGCAAAGCGGCGTGGCGACGTTTAGTGTGTGTCAGAACAATGAGGCGACTGCTGAGTGTTACAGGTGTTACAGCAGTGACACATCTGCTGCTGTCAGGCCTGCAGGTATCAGGCTGTTGTTCTCCTTCATCTCATAGTTGACAGAAATTATTTTTGGAGTGGCACAAATAATTTGTGTGGCATCAGATTTGATGCAATTTGATGATTGTTCTCTAAATAATTTAAAATGTTTATTTAAAAAAACGCCTTGGCTGCATTTTTAGGTAAACAGCTGCAAAAAAACTTTGTTGTTTGCATAACTCAGTTACTTTTTTGAAGAAGTAACTATATAATTAATTACCCAACATTGGTCATTATTTACTGTATTTTGCAGACAGAGTTACAGACTCTCTCCCAGACCACAGACTCATAATACAAGTCAGAGCTTTATGAAAAAAAAACAAAAGAAACTTGTGTTTTCAAAATTGGAGTTCAAGTTATTTTTACTTCCAATAGTGTTAACATGCTACACAGGTCATGAACAAGATTTTTTTGTTTTGTTTTTTTAAATTTTCATTGTAAGTAGGGTAAAATAGTTAATTAAAAGTAGTCTAACATAAATGTAAATGCTGTAATTTTATTATTTTAATAAACCATGTAACTTGCATGGATTCAATGCTGGCGTCACCACAGTGCACACGTCTGCTGTTGCTCACAGTGGTCCAAGGGATCGCTCAGGGAGTTTCTGTGTTCGCTCAGACACATGAAAAATTAGAGGGAACATTGGGTGCGGGTATACCGGATACGGGTGGCTTTTTTTTTTCTTGAGATGTCATACACTTTGGATTCTAGCCAATCATTTTACGTTTCCGAGGATAGTAGGCGGGTCCAGGTACGTATGTTCTTTGAGAGCAGAGCTACAGATTAAATGTCCAAGGCAAAGCGGTCAAAAGTCTGGCTGTACTTCACAGGAAAATATGCAAACTCAGCAGCAACAAGTGCTTTAAGGTGATACTGTGATACTGTGCAAAGGAAGTAACACCTCGAATCCAATGAAAGACCTGGCAACGCAATAGCGTTTTTTTAAAAGCAGAGAAATGCATCGTATTTGATAGCTTGCTGCCAGACTTCACACCGAGCACATCTGCTGCGGGTGGGTTGCCTGTTATTGGACCTGGAGTTAGCAACATCCCCCAAAAACCCGAAGAGGAGAGTCCTGGCCCCTAGCCCTGCCAGTGTAGCAGACGGATGATGATGCAGCAGCAACCGTTCTTCTCTGTGTGAGGAGCTTAATGTTGTTCATGTGTAATTTACGTTGAGTAGGCTAACCACGTTATTACATTAATGCATGTAAGGTGAACTAGCAAACACCGTCGTAGTTACATGCGACTGTCTTCTTGTTTGATAGAGTGATACCATACATGCCCTGTAGCTGCAGAAAAAGCTAACACCGTTATCTTTTTACAAAAAAAACAAACAGCTAAACATGTTTTCCATTATTCACCGGTTCCAAACAAAGTAGGTATGTTGTATCAAAAGAAAAGGCTAACTTGGTTATCATTTTGCAGAAAAAAGAGACTGCTAAAAATAAAAACATAAGAGGTTTTTGGACAAAGTTTGTGTTCTCCATTCTTTAAGCAATTCAATTCAATTCAATTTTATTTATATAGCACCAAATCACAACAAAAGTCGCCTCAAGGCGCTTCATAGATACAGAGAAAAACCCAACAATCATATGACCCCCTATGAGCAGCACTTTGGCAACAGTGGGAAGGAAAAACTCCTGTTTAACAGGAAGAAACCTCCAGCAGAACCAGGCTCAGGGAGGGGCGGGGCCATCTGCTGCGACCGGTTGGGGTGAGAGAAGGAAGCAACGGTTAGAGCACCATTTAAGCACCCGCACAGTTTCAAAAGTACCGGTATCGGATAAAACCTAAACGATACCCATCCCTAAACAGAGTATAGATAAGGAATCTCTCAAATACAGTGGGGCAAAAAAGTATTTAGTCAGCCACCGATTGTGCAAGTTCCCCCAACTAAAATGATGACAGAGGTCAGTAATTTGCACCAGAGGTACACTTCAACTGTGAGAGACAGAATGTGAAAAAAAAATCCATGAATCCACATGGTAGGATTTGTAAAGAATTTATTCGTAAATCAGGGTGGAAAATAAGTATTTGGTCACCTCAAACATGGAAAATCTCTGGCTCTCACAGACCTGTAACGTCTTCTGTAAGAAGCTTTTCTGTCCCCCACTCGTTACCTGTATGAATGGCACCTGTTTGAACTCATCATCTGTATAAAAGACACCTGTCCACAGCCTCAAACAGTCAGACTCCAAACTCCGCCATGGCCAAGACCAAAGAGCTTTCGAAGGACACCAGGAAAAGTATTGTAGACCTGCACCAGACTGGGAAGAGTGAATCTACAATAGGCAAGCAGCTTGGTGTGAAAAAATCAACTGTGGGAGCAATCATCAGAAAATGGAAGACATACAAGACCACTGATAATCTCCCTCGATCTGGGGCTCCACGCAAGATCTCATCCCGTGGGGTCAAAATGATCATGAGAACGGTGAGCAAAGATCCCAGAACCACACGGGGGGACCTGGTGAATGACCTGCAGAGAGCTGGGACCAAAGTAACAAAGGTCACCATCAGTAACACACTACAACGGCAGGGAATCAAATCCCGCAGTGCCAGACGTGTTCCGCTGCTGAAGCCAGTGCATGTCCAGGCCCGTCTGAAGTTTGCCAGAGAGCACATGGATGATACAGCAGAGGATTGGGAGAATGTCATGTGGTCAGATGAAACCAAAGTAGAACTTTTTGGTATAAACTCACTCGTCGTGTTTGGAGGAAGAAGAATACTGAGTTGCATCCCAAGAACACCATACCTACTGTGAAGCATGGGGGTGGAAACATCATGCTATGGGGCTGTTTTTCTGCCAAGGGGACAGGACGAC